GGAAGGCAATGTGTTCTTGATTTGATTGCCCTTTTACCACCTAATTCATATATATAATTGAGTTATTTTATTTTATTATGAAGCTAATGTATTTGGTACATAGATGTTCTTTTAGAGATCAGAAGAAATTTTGAATGGTTACAGACTGCTTTAGCTTTCATTTGCTGATTCACAATCTGCGGCCCTAAGCTCACTGGAGACGAAGTTTGCTTAATTCTACTGGTTAATCTTCGGACATGATTAGCTCTAATTAAGAGTTTTGCTTACTCTTTCTGGTGTATTTTTTTACTATATATTTTGCTATCTTTCTCTGGTATTTGCTATTTATGCTCCATCATCTGGATGAAATGCACATTTTAAAGTGGCTTTACTGTTTCTTTATTCTTATGTCTTCACATTTTGAGGGTCTAATGCATCTTCCACTTATGCAGTCTTGCTGCACTTTGTTGCTGCTGCATGTTGGAGGAATGCTGCTTCTTTCTACGGTAATGAAATGGGCATATTCAATATTTCACATTTGCAAGTCGCTACACTTCCTTGAGTCAATATGGGGGGAGAAATGTCGCTTCCAGTGACTTCTGCATGACATTATTAGGGTTTGGTGATTGTTGCCTTGCATCCTTCTTGGATGTGAGGAGTTGTGTCTACTACATACATGGGTTCCATGTCTGTTTATTTCTGGAGCTTTATCTATCCAAATTTGTAAACAGAAGCTATCAATATAAATACAGCTCTTATTGCATCTTCGTTTTCATTTTTGTTGTGGGAATCTGCTTTCATTGTTTTACTAATGTTCCTCTTTTCGTCATCAGATACTAATCTTTAAAATTCTGTAACAGTAAAGACATCACAACCTAGAATGATTGGGGCTAAAGTAGATGAGCAGAACTTTGCCTGTTCAATAGGCCGTACTCAATCCACAGCCAAATCCAGTAAATCATCAATCATCATTGATTTCCCAATACTAGAATAGATGCTATTTATGATTACAGATGGCAAATCATCCTAAATTAAAAAGGAGTAGCATACAAAGATCACCAAGCAGGGAAAAGTTCAATAAAAGTCAGTCACCTGCACAAAGTACAACTACTCAAAGAAAGAGGAAAAATACTTATAGAACTAAAATAGTGTGCCTATAAAATCCACACAGAGTCTGGTGCATCTTCCCTATGTCCAACCAATGTCCGATACAGATACATCTTCTCTACTTTTTGCTCATCGTCAGAGTTGAACTCCAGCTGATCATACTCACTTATGATCTCTACATTGAGCCTTGGCATCTTTTGTGCAAGAGTTTTGCAGCCACCGAGGGTCACTTCACAGGAGGACATCCAAAGGGATCGCATTGTTTCATACTTTCCCACGTCCTCCAGAAGTGCTTCATTACCAAAGGGGCTGTCTCTGATCTCTAGCTTACGAAGATTCTTGCACCCATTCAACACATAACGCATTCCCTCGTCACTGTCCCCAGCAAAAGCAACAGAAAGCATTTCAAGCTGTTCAGCATACATTCCTATGTAAAGGAAAACCTGATTAGTCAGAAGGCCTGAGACTGATAACCGCTTAAGACCCTTGCAGGACTGAACAATTGCCCCAAAACCTTCATCCAATGGCTGCATGGTCACAGGGTCAGGTTTCCTAGGATCAAGAATGCAGAGTCTGAAGCGGATGAAATTTGGACAGTTCTTTGCAACAGTAATCAGGGCAGCATTTGTCATCTGCTCACAGAAGTACAACAATGAATTGAGCTTAGGGCAACCAGCAGATACAGCAACCAAGCCTTCCTCTGTTACAGCAGCGTTTTCAGGCCCAAAGGGATCAGATGGAAAAACTCTCAATTCATGCAATTCTTTACAAGTTGAAGCTACAATACTTAGTCCTTTGTCTCCAATGCAATCCAATATCTGCAGAAAGATGCAAATTATTGTCATCAAGCAAAACTTGGACAATCTAAACCTGACTCAGAAAAAAGGTTGTGTACCCATAGTCGCTGAAGACTCGTGCAGTGTTGAATAAGATTTATCAGCTCATTACAGTGAAGGCCTGGAGCATAGCTTAGATTCAAGAAGGTCAGATTAGGGCAAATTGGATAAATAGAAGCCATACAATGAGGAGCAACCTCTAAGAACCCTGACAAACACCTAACTGAATTGCACTTCTGAATGGCAGCTTTCAATTTATTATAGGCCTCAGAAGATGGATCACTTACATAAGACCCAGTACCTAAGTCTACCAATTGAGGTGCTCGCATCAATATCTTTTGAAGAGAGTCAGGGGGCACTGCACGGTTCAACCTCAAACTCTTGAGGTTAGGAGATCTGGCTACAAGTCTCTCCAAAGCCGTTAAATTTATTTCTCCTTTGAGGCAAGCAAAATTCAGAGAGACAAGAGACGTGCAGCTTTCAGGAAAACAGCTGAGCCACTGGCCTCTATGGTCATCAACTTCATTTTCTTGCAAATCTAGCTCCCTAAGAAACCTAAAATGCAAAGCAATAGTAAGAGTTACAGCACCCTCTTGTCATAACTAAGGACAGTTTTCTATGAGTTTGAACTCTGAAAAGACCACAAACAACTAACATATGCTTATCATAAGTGGAAGCAACACACAAACAGGATAAATCAGAAGAAAGCAGAATCAATGAACGATGGAAGGTAAGTAGCCACCTTCCAGAGATATGCTGGAGATACAGCCTATAATTTACCAAGAATAGATTGCAAGACAGAAAACCTCCAAATGTAACCACAGTAAAACAGTTGGATTTTCAATTCAAACTAGCCACAAAAAATCTGTAAAAAAAAAAAAAAAAAAAATGCTTGACTGTATTGTTGAATAGCCGTCATTATCAAATTTAGAATGATATAGTTTCAAGCTTATGATGTAATTGACCATCAAATATCAACCACAAAATTACAAGCTAATGCTATCACAAGAAGAACAAGCTTTCAAACATAGTGTCAGTGAAGAATAATTAATTTTCAACTTCCAAACAGACTTGAAATCAATAATTCACAAAAGAAATGAGTAAAATTCCATGAAGTTAACAAAACATTACTACTACTTGTACAATTCCAGAAAGAGAAAACAAAAAAAAGTGAGGTATGAAGAATGATCAATCTCCCCATATATTCTCACCTACAATTGGCAGCAATAGCAGCAATCCCATCAGTACTGAACCCTTCACAGCTGACAAGAACTAAAGACTTAAAATCGGGGAAGGACCGCGAAAGCAGTTCCAGGCTCTCATCAGAAACTATCATCCTCTTCAACCTAAGTTCCTCCAATCCGATTCTGTTATTGGCCAAGGCTTGGATCCATGGGAGGACGAAGCCTCCCCAATCAGGAGGCACCAGATTGAAGTCGGCAAAATGCGGCTTCCCCTTTAGAGTGAGGGACTTGAGAGCCGGAAATCTAAAGATGAGCCTCGCCGGGCTGATCGCGTAGCAATTTCCGATGAAAACCCTCTTCCTGCTGTTTCTTTCGATTCTACACCATGACTTGCACACTGAAGAGACAGAGTTTCGATCTTTATG